TCTATGCCACTTATATGCTTTTTCTTTTTATCTTTAATCAGAAAAAGAAAAGAAAAAAGAAAAAAGAAAAAGATCACCGCGCAATACAAAACGAATCATCCGTGAAAATCTACGAAGAGAACGATCGTAATCGCCGACGTGTGCGAGGAGAGATTTAAAAGATTTATAGAAATGGTGAAATGGACGTTAATGACAAAGTGCGTTCTAGAAGACCGAAAGAATTTGAGAACGATGAATTGCAAGAAGAAATTCTTGATAAAGATCCCCCTCCTCAATCATTGGAAGAGCTTGCTGAGTTAAACTTGGAGTTAATGCATCAACCGTTTCTCTCGGCGGTTGAAATCAATGGGGAGAAAATTTAGAAGATAAGTAAATGGATTCTGTATCAACTGATCGATCAAACTACATCAGTCAGATAATACTAAACCTCGTATTGCTGTTGCTATTAAAAGAACGGAAACAAAAAGAAAAAAAAAAAAAAAAAAGAAAAAGAAAAAGAAAAAAGAAAAAAAAGAAAACCATAATTAGAGTTAAAATCGAAAACATTAACGTTCATTACATCTAATTGGACATGTTAGAAACCTTATTAGAGGAAATATTTTCCAGTAATCACTTTATTACTTGTCGGACATTGTCCATCGTTCTGATGTTCATTTATTTTGATCGATCTGATCTGATAAGACAATTCGCTTGTCCGATACAATATGATTTGATAATACCGAGAAGTTCGAAAATGAGTAGATAATTTCATTGTTTCAAAAGATTTTTTTTTTTTTTTTTTTTCCTTAAGGAATAATAAGATCAGACAATAATCCTTTAAAGTGGCAAAAGATTGTAGAAAAATGATGCCAGATATTATTAATTAAAATGAATATATATATATATATATATATGTTTACTTTTTTTGTTCTTTTTTTCTTTACTGTTAATCGAATAAAATTTATTACATATTTAATATGTATATAAACTTTTTCAAGTGCCTTGCAAATAATAATAATAATAATAATAATAATAATAATAATAACAAATAACAAGAATAAAAATAAAAATAATAATACAAATTATATTACAAATCGATCGAAAATAAACATTCGAAAAATTATATTTATAATTAATTTTAAAATGGACCGATTGATCGACGTTCAACAAGTTGATTCGCTAGAAAGAAATAAGGAACTTTGAAGGGCGGGGAAAATGGTAAGAATGGAAGAGACGGGAAATCCGATTCTATTTGCTCTTCAACGTCGACAAGATTCTCACGGCCGACTTATTCGTTCTCGTTTTCTCGCTTTCCGCAAACTCGCGCTACGGAGAGGGTATCTCCGAAATGACAGCGAGTCGAGGCGAGTTGAGGAGGATGGAAAGATAGAAAAGTCGTTAGGCACGTCGAGGCGTGTCGTCGTGCGACGAACCGATAAATAGACCGAGAATAGTTCTCTCTGTCTCCTCTTTCTCTTTGTCCTCTCTCGATGAATATTTCAACGTCGACGATAAATCCCGCGGGAATAGTATTCTATGTTAACGTGTTTACTTCTAAAGCTAGTTGTACAAGCTAATATCTCATAATTAAAAGAGAAACTAAAAAAAAAAAAGAAAAAAAAAGAGAGAGAGAGAGAGAGAGAGAGAAAGAGAGAGGAAAATAAAAATAAAATGAAAGAGAAAATACAAAAATAAATCCTAAAATCGTAATAGAATTCATTATATATATTTTATATATTTTTATATCTGCCTATATCTGATATCCTTTCATCATCATTGATTATCGCAGTCTTATATGCGCATATATTTAATGAATAATGAATAATTAAACATTTAACACATTGACAAGTACATTAAAATGCTTTCCTTTTCCCATTATAAAATATATAACAAATTCGTTAAATTCATATCGATCAATGTCAATATAAAATCACCTAATAATTTGAGATTTCTATAAACTCATACGTAAAATCAGATATTATATAAGTCACGTTGATCATGTTTATATGAATAAATATAAAGGATCAAATAATGTTCGACGTTTGGCAATAAATGTATTAACTTTCTTCATTTTGCCGTACAAAGAAATTTTCGAAATGGAGTAAATCGAAAGAGAATAGCCAGGGTCTGAGGTATCTCTTTTCAAAGTAAACCAAGAAGAATCGAAAATTTCTTTTCCTTTAACCTCGGTTTAAGGGGTCAACGAGAGAACTCTTCTTTTCTTCACGATCGAAGAGGAAGAAAAGGAGAATGAGGGATAAGAGTAATCGTACTGACTCGAATCGATTCTCATACGACGAAGAAAAGGTTTGCCTTTGTTCGAGCTTCTTCTTTTCCATCTTCTCCTCTTCTCTTCCTTTTCTTTTTTCTTTTTTTTTTGCCTTCCAGCAAGAAAGTTAAAGGTTGCCGATGTGTTCCGCGTGCAAGGTACAAAGTAACGTGTTCTTATGCACGGACATGCGCATGAGGATTATGCAAGAGGAGCATAGCCTCGTGCCAATCGTCTATACGTTCTCTTCTTAAAGCAGCTTCGTGCAGCGGATATGTTGCTATACATACATTACGTATGCTTCACGATACGTAATTACGATTCGAATGACGATTGAACTCGAACGAAGAAAAGACTGACTCTTTTTTCTCAAGGTCAAGTTTTTTTCTTTTTCTCTCTCTCTCTCTTTCTTTCTCTCTGTCTCTTTTTTTTTCTCTCTCTCTCTCTCTCTCTCTCTCTTTTAATTTCTCTTTCTGTTTTCAATTGTCCTAAGAAAAGTATTGCTATCAACGAACACATGACATTCTTTTTCTTTCGAACCACCTGAGTAAATTAATATCAAATGATCCATCGGTATAAAGAAGTCAATCACAAAATATTTTCGAAATTTGATATTTGAAATTTTAAATAATGATTTCAAATAATTTCTGTTAAAATATGTTTTAACAGAACTTGGAGAAATATTCTTTTTTTTTTTTTTTTTTTTTTCTTTTGACTTTTTAAAACCAATATGTGTGTTCAATTTGTAGATAAGATTGTTATGTGCGTTTGAAAAATATTTCTACTACGTTAAGTTTATCAACTAATTTCTATACCGTTAAAATAATTCTTTAGTTTAGTGTTATATTTTCGTTTTATTTTCAAAATATATAAAATCTTTGCGTCATACCAACTTTAGTTATTTTTTATCATAATAAAAAAAAAATAATTGACCTTCTAAAAAAATATGTAGACATATATATTATTATATACCATGTTATATGGATATATATATATATGTGTGTGTGTGTGTGTGTGTGTGTGTGTATGTATGTTTTCGATTATAAGAAAAAAGTTACGTTATTTTCCGACACAAATTGCAAAAACTGAAATACAAGGGCGGATTATCATCTCTTGGTATACTACAAATAACGTTTTATTCGATAATGAAAAAAGGGTTTAGGTTAACCACCTTTTGTGGCGAACGACGTTTCAAAATCGACTGTTAGTACAGTACTATCGGATGGTCATCTATAAATAAACGGATAGATTACTCGGTCGTTATGTTCCGCGACTGTCGTGGAAAAGTATAAAATAGAAAAGTGCAAATAGAATACAAATTATAGATGTCCATGAAGGTGAATACTAAGTAGATGATGACTCTTCACCTTGGATAAGGAAATTCGTTTGAATAAGGTAAGGTAAGGTCACTTCGATCGTTTAAAAAAAAAAAGAATAAATAAATAAATAAATAAATAAATAAATAAATAAATAAATAAATAAATAAATAAATAAATAAATAAATAAAACAAAACAAAAAGAAAAAGAAAAAATTTATAAGAGCTCAAAATCCATAGAAATTCTTTAAACAAAATTCGTTCATTATGAAAATTTAAGTTTAATGATAAATATACACATACACATGTACGTATGTACGTATGTATGTATATATGTATAGATATATACACCACCGATATTGGGTAAAAGAGAAACGGAAATATCAAATAACAAATAAAAACAGAGTAACAAAAAAAGAGAGAGAAAAAAAATAAGGCTAAAATAAACGCAGGAAATATATAAAAGGAATACTAGACGATTCTGAATCATAGGCACACACTCATGCACATGATTTGTTCGTACACAAAATGTATATTCCACTCTCACTACCACTTATATTCAGTAGGTCGAACAAGCACAGTTTTCATTTGTCGCATCGATTATCACGCATTCGTTTGCTTTCCAATTTCACGCTACGTCTACGTCGATACTTACGCTTTTATGCGAAAACATCGAATCTGCGCCATTTTCGAAGCACACAATGAATACGATTCACGATTTTCGAAACCGCACTCGATTCTCTCGCCGATACCTTGTTACCGATGCTTTTATTCGAAATATATCGAAATATACAGTGTAGATATAAACAGTAAATAAATTATCAATTAATACGACAAATTACGAGGACACACATCCTGTACAATGTGTATCAAGGAATCGTTATTGTAGATGATTCACGTATGTTGGAGAAAACTGGGAGCACTTCAACGGAATTTTGAGCAACGCTGATGGGGATAGGAATTTTTTATGTTTCCAAATGCACCGGCTCTGCGAGCTCGCGAAGGTTTACACGAGCTGCACCTCATGAATATTCAAGAACTTTTCTAGGGTAAAAAAAGGAGAACAAGAAAAAGAAAAAAAAAAAGGAACCGACTGTATTCTTTCTTCGCATTTCTTTTTTATTTCTTCTTTTCTTTTCTTTTCTTTTCTTTTCTTTTTTTTTTTTTTATCTAATCTTTATTCCATCTCATCGATCGTATGAGAATTTTGATCGACGTTTCTTTTAAGATCTTTTCTTTGAAAAATTAACGTGACCGGCAAGAAATTGAGACGAAAAAAGTGGACAAATCGATTCTTCAAACGATGTAAGTAAGTACCTGCCTGCTTCTTATCCAGTACTCCTACATGATGCGATAGAAGATCTGTTGTTTTTATTGAACAAAAACGTGCAATAAAATAACAACGTTGTTCGTTCTTGTTAGACAATCATACTTACCGTTAATAATTTTTCGTTTGTCACGCAAAGATGGCCGCCGTTGTTCCTCCTCCATCGTCATAGTATTTCCTTTTCTGCGTAGGCCGTAAGAGTAGCGAAGAAGTGTTTACATGGCGTTAATAAAACGTTAATACGCTTCGCTTCGACAATCGGTTAATATCCACGCTTGTTTGTTAATAGAGTATCATCTTCGACATCACCTCTGTGTGTGCACGCGTGCAAATTTTTTGTCGGTCTCCTTATCACCGGTAGCGGATCTGAGCTTGTCCCGTCTCTCAGCTTTGAATCTGAAAAATTTCAAATAACGCAAAATATTGATTAATTAAATCACAACGTACATTCTAATAATAATTCTAAAACAATGGATAGGTCTATCTTTGATTTATCTCTTGAGAATTAAAATTCAAAGAATTTATGTATTTTCTAATTTATATATATATAAACAATGTAAAAAAATAAATATTGTAATAAATTACTTCCTATAATTTCTAATTAATTCCTATAATATTGATTAACAATGTTAACGTAATTATAAACATTGTTCCAATGAAAATTAATTAGAAATAAGAGATTTTATTATTTCTAAAATAGCTCAACAAATTAATGTTTCAGATAGAAAATAAAAAATATTTTGCTTTTTGTTTCTTTTTTAATTAATACAAACGTGACTTTATTTAAAACGAAAAAAAAAGATATTTTATTTAAAACGAAAAATAGATATGACAATTACTCCCGGTATTGTTTTAAAAGTACATAATATTATATGTGTTCACGAATATTGTCATCGAATTGGAATTTGGAGCTTGGAAAATCGGAGGAAAACGATGAAAGGGAAAAGCTTTCAGTCGATTTATTCGACGAACCAACTACGTATTTATATGCGCTATGCAATGTACTAGCTTTAAGCTTATTAACGATAAATCGACAGTACGATTATAATCGAAGTATAATTCATAAGAGAGTTGAGATTTGCCGTGTAACACGCGGCAACTAACACTTAACAATTCGATGTACATATTTAAGTATACTCATTCATAGAAATTAATATTCGATTACTATGATTAAATTTTTTTTTCTTTCTTCATTTATGTGCCCTGTGAGATGTATGTGAAAAAATAAAATAAAAAGAAAAAAAGAAAAATAATTTTTCAATGTAGCATCGATAAAAAAAAAAAAAAAAAGAGAAAGAAAGAAAGAAAGAAAGAACAGAAAAAAAGAGAAGGAAAATACAGAAGGAAAATTTTTACAATTTTTTCCAAGAAATTTTTATAACGAAAGAATATACAATAAATCTCATAGATTTATTTATCTTATTGTGATCGCGTTAATATCATTAAAATCGATCTATCTTAGACCGAGTTTATATAAATTTAAACAGAGAAATAATGAATACAGTGAACGATTATCCCCGATTAATCTGTTTCGAGGCATTTCTTGAAAGGTTAACGCTTCGTGAATGGTAGAAAATACTTTCGAGCTCGAGTTGGAAAGTGTAAATGTACTCTCAGACGATGTACTTTAGATATACGCATATAGATACTTATATATTATGTACATTCATAATACAAACATATATACACGAATACTTCTATTTCAATTAGAATTCTATGGCGAAATCGCGAAGCAAAGAGAAAAAAAAAGAAAATAAAACAAAATAGCAAAGAAAAAGAGAAAAAACAAAAAAAAGAAAAGAAAAAAGAAAGAAAGAAAAAAGGTGTCACTTTTTGTCGAGCAAAAAGTTTCAGTTTAGATTGGCCCTCCAGCAACGAAAGCACATGCGTTCGATAATTCGAGAGAATAATTGCGATGTGTAATTAAATCGTTAGTTTAACGTTTTATAGAATCTCGGCACGTGTTACTAACTCCCCCTCCCCTCCTTTGACCTCGCTACTGGAGAAACATCTCCGATTTCTACTAAAATTTCTGTTAATTACACGCACGTATATGTGGATTCGCGTAATTAAAATGGAAATTCACTAGTCGATATCTTTCGACTGCATTACGTAAACAAGAATTATCGGTTGATTTAATTATTGTTCAATTTTACAAATCTTTCGATTTGAAACCATCGACGAATAGTATGATTGTAAATCTACAATGATATCCGATAGTGCTATTACTATATGTAGTATTAATAATCAAACAGTCTATGTTAATATAAATAAGTTCGAGAATCATTGAATGTTGTTTAGTTTTAATTTAATAGGATACATATAGATGCGTGTTTGTATATATGTACACGTACAGATATACACACACACAGACACATAACATATCAACGATATATATATATAAGAGTCTTAACTAATTAAAAATTAAAACTCCAATTCAAAATGGAGAAGGAGAAAGAGAGGGAGAGAGAGAAAGAGAGAGAGAGAGAGAGAGAGAGAGAGAGATAAAAGAATCGCGAAGAGACGTAAACATTATACAATGTCCATTAATTAACACATATCATTCAAAATTATCATCTGGTTTGTCGGATCTATGTTATGACGATTATTTATGTTAAATATTTTCATAAGAAAATACTTTTTGAGATAAGTAGATATTTAGATTTTAGATAACTTAAGTGACTTGAATGATTTATATGACATTATTTATAAAGATTATTCATAAGTATCGTTGATTCTGTCATTTCTATTAATCGATCATACTTTGAAATATATATATATATATATATATATATATATATATATATATATATATATATATATATATGATTATTATTAATCATCGTTTCAATGAATATAATTATCTTTATTATAAAAAAAACGACTGAATTATTGAAAAAAAAAGCACTTCTCGTCTTTTTTCTTTCGTAATCGATAATGTTCGTGTTATCATTATTCTTTTGAAAAAATTATTCTCAAAAGGTCAATAAGTAAGAAATCTTTGTACATCTGCTTTGAAATATTACAAGAAAGTTTGAACCTGACCAACGAATTGAGGACCTATATAACATTACGAGCTAATTACAACCTGTCGGATAAAGACAGCTAATCTTTTCTCCTTTCTTTGTGTTTTACTCAATGTCAAAATTGAATATCCTAGAAGTTGACGTCTACGTCGTCTTTAGCTTCTACCAATACGAAATGTTCTTACGAGTTTATCAAATTAACTTTTCAAGTTAATAAACCGATCGTCTCTATGACACACGAAAAGCAATCACAACGATTTACGAGTTTTACCACTTATAAATTTCTTTAGAAAAGTCACTTTATCTACATTAATTTCATTTTATAAAAATTGAGAGATCTGTTTGATCGATATCTTCTTTAATAATTGTACGACTTCTCGACTTCTCGATCGATCGATCGATCGATCGATCAAATGACTCAATTTAAAACACATGCATCTAACGAAAAGTGTCGACCAGGATTATTCTTACGAGATCTAGCGATTTCTTCTTCTTTTTTTTTTTTTCTTTTTTTCTTTTTTTTTCTCGAGAAACCCCAAGGCAGATAAATTTTCTTTTCAAGAGGAAACAGATCCTTATCGTAATAAATTCACTCACTTTGAGTCAAACCTCGTAAGTTGAGTGGCAACCCCATCGATTATCTTAAATGACAAACACGTGTCAAGTGGCATATCGTTTGAAAGATCTTTTAATGGTGCTACTTTCTTTTTTCTTTTTTGCTTAATTAATCTCGACTGAATAACTTTCTGAAAAAAGAAAAGAAAAAAGAAAAATTCATTTCAAAGTTTCAGGTTAAAAACAACTTTTATTTTATTTAATATTCAAAACGCATATCGTCGTTAACTTCAAGTAATAATTTAATCTTTGCTCAATATTACACCTTTTTGCAGTACATCCGGTGTAATCTCACAACATTCTTCGACCGGTTGGATGGTATATATATATATATATATATACATATGTATTATGGATTATAAATATATCTTGTGGAAAAAAAAAAATATATATATATATACATATGTATTATGGATTATAAATATATCTTGTGGAAAAAAAAAAGTATCCAAGAGTGTGAATAATCAAGAAAATGCTGGTTTTAAAACTGTCGTATTGAAGCTGTATAACGTAGGAATAACATTTCTTCCTTCGATATATATATATTCATATCAATTTCAATGCTTTCTACGATAAATGGAGAAATATAATATTAAATAAAATTAAATTACGACCATTTGATCAAATAATGCGAGTGAAAATAATGAGATCAACCATTTTGTTACCTGCCCACAAATTCGCCGAAATACACCGAATATACTGCAATATGTTCAACGTAACACTGAGCAAAGACTTTATTACTGGTTGGAGGTCGGCGATACACGTTTTGAACATTTAATAACACCGGATATACCGTAAAATGTTCGACATAACACTGAACAAAGACTTTATTACTTGTAGAAGGTTTACGATACACATTTTGAATATTTAATAAAATAAAGATTGTTTTCACCCTGAAACTTCGAAAGATATTCCTCTCGGAAAATTATTTATTCGACAAAGGAAAAAGTATTATTGCAAAGACAAAATCAAAAGATCTTTCAAATGACATTCCCAATTGACGGCTGTTAGCCATTGAAAATTTTTGGAAGAGTTGTCAGTCCTTTTATATCTCCTCTTAATCCAAAATTAATGAATTTATGATAAAGACTCTACTCTAAGAGTTCCCCCCCTCAATTAAAAAACAAAAAAGAAAAAATTACTAGATTTTAAATTAATCTTAATGGACATTTTTCATTGGGATATATATATATATATATATATATATATATATATATATATATATATTGCTGGTATATAGATACGATATATCTACAATATTTTAATTTAATAAGGAAATGATATAAAAAGTATCTATGAAAAGGCGCAAAATATTCTCTCGAAAAAGTTCTATCGATCTGTCGTTATCGTGATAACGTAGGAACGACGAGAGTCGTCGTTATTCGTGATAATTTGACTTTCATTAACTCTAAAACAGAAGCAGTCCTCTCGCGGAATATCGACGACATTCAAATTCGTTGGTGCTAATAACGAACGCTTCGAACTGTCGATTTCGCGCTTTGATTCGAAGAGTCGCGCGTGTGTTTGTTCGGAAGCTATCCATCCTCTTCTCCTTTCTCTTACTCTCTCTCTCTCTCTTTCTTTTTCTTTTTCTCTTTATCGCATTCCTCCTTCCACCGCTTTCGCGATCTCTCTTTTAGAAATGGTCTATCTAGCCAAGAAAGTTTACCCGATGTCAACGTCGGTAGCTCCTCTTAAAAGAAAGAAAGAGGAGAAAGAGAAGGAAAAACAAACCGACGACGCCGCGAGCGAGCG